GCGAACTGTTTCAATGGTACTCACATAGCCAACTGTTTCAATGGTACTCACATAGCAGGTGTGCAGCGTAAACTCCACTCCAAGGCCAACCGATATGATGAGAGTCACCGCTGGAATGGCGCTGAGTTTGATCCCAAGCAACCCCATGAAACCAAACAATTCCGTGGTGATCATCCCAAGAATGCACACCTGAAGGGGGGGCAAAGAAAGCGGTTCAGAATCAGGCAAAAAGTCTTCACTGCCAATTCCTTAAACAGTGCACAAATACAACAGACTATTCATTAACAGCATGCATAACAGACACATTATTGACCTTCAACTACATGTATCTCCATATTAGTCACAACTGGCCACTGGCCAAAGAGGCAGTTTGCATGGACAACCAACGTATGCATGGTTCCACCCAGCATGGCTGCCAGATTGGTCAGCATAGGCAACTGAAAGGTTACAGTTCATAATGATTCAATGAGGAAACTATGATTACATTTGCTAAAATGCTTGGCTTGTGTACTCGCACGTTACTTTAACTTGGATATATGAATTTAGATTCTGCACTAACACACCATCTGCCAACACACAGCTTAGTGTTCAACTCAGAATCATGACCATTTGAAATCAGCACAATAGTTTGAAGATGGAAATGTCCAGAACTCACCAGTATGAGAGCAGCCCATGGATTAGCCAGCAGGATGGCCAAAACCAGGAAGCTGGCCCCTAGTACGCTGAGCAGGGAGAGGGCTAGGTAGAACCTCAGGTCCAAGTACTGCTCCCAGAACGTGAAGGGCACGCCCATGGGGTAGTTGGGCAGGCCTTGCTCCACAAAGTACTCCGAGAGGTTGCGCACATTTCTGACCACACTGATGAAATCTTGGGTTTTGCGGAGGTTGTTCAGATAGAAGGGCAGCTGGGTGTAGTTCAGGGTGCTGGATCGAGGAACTGAAGGTAGACCATTCAAAATGCTTGAGTCAAAATATATTAACGACATTTTTTCCCTCAAAACAAACTTTGAGAAGATGTCAATTTTAGTTAGGCGGAGAATAACAGGGATGGCAGCAACGGGCAAGTCAGACTATTAGTAAATTCCCACCAGCATGAGCCTCTGTACTTTTATTTTTTAACACATACAGAGACCAACAAAATATGATCTTTCATTCCATGGAAAAGTTGCTTGGGTGGAAATGATTCAATTCAACAAAGAATATGTTAAGAAATCTAAACTTACTTGTGACGTCCCTGTCTGTTTTGCCGCCTGGTGTCCACTGAGCAGGGGCAGGATGCAGCATTGCTTGGGAGGCAGAATAGGACCATGTATCATAGTTGCACCAGACGGTTAAGTAGTTATAGAATCCATCAGGATTTATGACACCGTGGTCATCCACAAGACGCTCTGTAAGAAACTACAAATGATGGGAAAATGCAAAGGTGATTTTTCTGTATTAATTAAAATTGATCACTAATAATAGCTTCCGACTTCTGCTTGTACCAGACTTGGATGTTTTTGCATTTTTCAATTTAAGGACGAAAAGACTTTGTTTAAGAAGTAATAATTGCTAATTAGAGCCAAATAGTTAAACCCAAGCCTATCTGGGAAGTTTATCTGAAACATATTTTCAGAAATTTTTTCACAAAAAGCTAGGATTTGACACAAGATGGCTTGACCATTTCACACAAATGAGGTCCAAATCCATCCACTACTTGGCTCACGTTGTTCTTGATCTTTTGCACAACTGAATGTGTCCAAGCAAATCCATCCAAAGGTGTCAGTTTTTTGGGGTTTTTTTTTCTGGTGGTACCTACCCTGTTGAAGTCAATGGGCCTCTCTGGTATGCCCGTCTGTATCAGCATTTTGTAAGCTAGCACTCCCTTCTCAGACGCATTGTTGTACCAGTTGTTTCTGATGATGGCATTGCCTTTCTTGTCCCTGTCAAACTCCCTCTGCATTTCTGGAAGGGGAAAAAAAGTTGCAAAGTTCCTGTACATTGCCAAATTGCTGACGACACATCTCAAACCAGGAAGGATGAGACTCTCTAAAATTGACAAGATTCAACAGGCATGATTCAATTCAATAGGAGTGACAACTGTTTACCTCTGATCCGACTTCTTTATGTAACAGTTAACATCTTGCATTCATGTAGAAATGGAAATAAGTAGAAGCCCCCTCAAGAAACACTGTATGGTTCTTATCAACCTTGCTTGTATGCACCCAAATGCACAACAACCAATTCCTTGATCAAAAACATCATTTCCAAAGACAGCAACTGTCAGCAGTGCACTATGAAAATGGCTATTCCATGGCAACCTCTGAGTGATACGGTGCACTGCAAAAAACTCCTGCAGACAAGCCTCTCATAACTATAACATACTGACAAAATAAACCGTTCCAAATTGCAGCATAGAAAAGTCATATAGGCCTGATGATCCATCACTTCTGGAAATACTCTTGCATTATCTACTCACCAAGTAGCCAATCCCTGAAGGTGATCAACCAGAATGAGGGCAGGGAACCGTCCGGCTCTCGGATCACCTGTTCAATGTTGCGAAACTCCGAGTGGTAGGCATGGAGTAACCGCTGCCGGTGCGCATAGTCGAAGTCTTCCTGCGTCACGCCATACATGTTATAAAAGCTGAAATACTTCATTTGGGCCTCCAGAAAGGCCTCCTCACGGGTCCCTCTGGGGACTATGTCCGTGATTTCCAGTCCGTCCTCGATTTGAGTCACACCGTAAATGCTGAGCCCCAGCAAGCATGCAAAGAATACGAGCACACCAACCTGCACAGGGAATAACAAGAGGCAAAACACAGGTTTGCTCAGTGAATAAGAACATACTGAAGTTCCTGGTTTCTCCAGTCCAGGGCACCAATGTGTACATTATGTTGTACTCCGGTGAATCATTCTCAGTAGCATGGGTTGGCAGGTGTGAGAAAACATTCCACCAGGTGACAGACTGGTCATCATATGGTGTACACCTATGTTTATTAACCACCACAACATTTGTACCACCTTGCTATCAATAATGCAATGATATTTCTGCTGGTCTGAATTTGCTGAAACGAAAGCATTCTCTTTAATTCTTTTTAAAAGAGATGAGAACTGACAGTATATGTATTTAAAACGTGCTGCACAGGAGCACAAAGTGACACACTGCCACCTTGAAGTGTTAAGAATAGTTTTCTAGCCGGAAAATCAGGGTTCATGATACGGTAGTCCTTGACAGGTTTCAAAAATGAATACTACTATGCAAGTAAAAGTCAACTTTCTGAAACGTTTCTTGTTTTCATTCTTACCTTCACTTGTAACTTTTGCAGGAAGGGTGCATAGTATCCTCGAGCAAATCCAGACAAGCTCCATCTCCAGCAAGCAGCCTTGCGGCACCTCTCCCTCAGACTAGGGCGCTCCCGCTCTAGCGAGTCCTGCCGGATCAGCGTCCTGGTGGAGGCAGTGGAAGGGGCCGTGGAGGGGGGTGTTTCTACCACCGGTGTGATGCCTTCGGTGGTGGCTGCGACCGGTGATGAGTGTACCACCGTCACGTAGGGGCGCTCACCCTGACCAGCAGCCCCTGTAGTCCTCGTTGTCTGTGTGACAGCTTGCACCGTAGACTGCAGCCGCACCTCCGTCTGCCGTGGCAGTGGTGGTCTGGTGACAGCCGGCCTGGGCTGGACCCGGATGACCCTATTTGCACTTGGACTATGGACAAAGAGTTGGACAAAGGTGAATGGTCAGAGGATTTATAAAATTAACATTACTCTAATCTGACTAGTAAATGACAAGAGATGTTCTCCCTTTAATCCTGCGATTTACACGAGACAAACTTATGCTAGCATTTACACCTTACTATGAACTCCTTTTTCCACAAAATTAATTTTCTTGCTGTTGAAGTGATATTGACCATTTATAACCACACTGTCAGCACAGGGGGAATTAATAATAATACCTGAATGGGGATTTAGAACCAATGCCCAAAGAATGAAACACGTACCAGTAGTTTAATGCAATACTAGAAATAATCCTGGAAGACTCTCTATCCTTTCAAAACCAAGGTTATCTTTTGGCTGATGTCAAATTCCTTTTTCAATAGCATGTTAAGGCTTCACGTGAACTTTTGAAGGCCACGATTCCATTATTGATCCTTGCTGTACAAATGTTGCAGTCTTTCAATGATGGCAGTACATCTTGCAAACTGTGCGGATGAAAACGTAAAAGCCAAATCAGCTGATCGTCTCTCACCTGTTGCTCGTTAAACAGCAGAAGATATCTACCCGTTTGGCATCTCGTCTCTTGATGTCTAATGCCAGGATGGCTGGGAAAACTAGCACGATGGCCAGGAAGTTGAATACTATTACTATTGCAAACTGGGGAAGCAAAAAGTAACAAAGTAGGGATTATTGACAGAAGAATGAAAAGTTTTTTTAAAAAGTTGCTAGAAATGTGAGACATGTTGTACATGATCTGAATAAAACTAGCCCAAAAGAAAACTTGAAAAGGTGAATAATGTGGCAGTTTAACAGCTATTGTGGAGATCCTCTGGGTGTGATTTTTAAACTTCTTGTTTTTGGTGAAGTGAATATCCTTGCACCGGACATCACTCTGCAGTTGATCTGAATGTTTCTTGTCCAGCTGAAACAAACCATTCACAGTGCAAGTTTTAGTCCTCGAGACTGTAAACCTGATGCAGAAATTGGATTTGATTACCGAACTGTTGCCATAAAGTAAGCTGCAGTGTGATTTGGCTTGGTTAATACATCTTAGTGTGAATTCGCACCCCCAACCTCCCGACTTACTTGAAGTGAGAGGGACCGCAGAGCGGGTATAGGGATAACAGCTGCTAGGAGAAAGGCACACATGTTGTTGAGGGACGTCAGGAGGACACTGACACCAGAGCGACGCAAAATCTCACCCGTTTTATACTGAAAAGGATCAGACGTGTGGAGTTAAGATTTGGGAGAATTGTTTCTCTTTTAGCTAGCCAGAAAATAAAACACTTAAAAACCAAAAAAGCATGACCCGAATCAGATGGCAGAACTAACTTTCATTCAAACTGGTTTCTATATGAATCTATTGTAGGCTTGCAGCATGTATAGTTCTTACAAAAGAGAACAGTAACACCGTACAGAAATACAGCAAACTAATATTCCATACAAAAGTAGCATGTGCCAAAAGTTAAGCAGTGGACTGGGTCTACATGTACATGTACATTATTAGGACAAAGCCTTGCTACAATAACACATGTCCACAAATTGCACTCTGCCCAAGCTGTAATTGTGTCAACACCAGCCTGGCAGGTCGGGTTGGTTACCAAACTTGGACCACAGCAACAGGCCCAGTGGAGTTGGACCACCAACTGGCTGAGCCCCTACACCATGGCCCCAGCAAGCTTCTCCAGTTCCACAACACCAATAACTCCCCAACCACCACACCAAATGCCTGACACCCAATACCGCCCTGACCCAGTTATTTACTCCAACAATTTCTGGGGTTTGTGTCAGAGCCCCAGGTCTTTGCTTGCAGGGGAAACCGATGATGGAAGTTCAGTGCAAGTCATTTTCTAATTGAGAAATTGAGTGCGTGCTTGGCGGATTGCCCGTACATCATGTACATGTACAATGTACAAAGCCTCTAACATGAGCACTGGCTTTTCTGCATTAACTTTTCCCTCCATTTTATTTAATAAGGACTGGAACAGAGGTCGTCTAAGAGTCAACTATTTTTGTCTCCCATTAGACCTGGCACAGTTTCATGTCCCAAGGCATTTTATCATTTCTCCAAGACCAACCAGAAGTCAAGGACACCTGATATCAGGCAATGGCTCAGAGGCTAACAAGACTGTGAAAGAATACCACTGAGAGATATATTATATCAGGCTCCAGGAAAAAAAAGAGACATTTTGAAACTGAAAAAATGATTGGTTGCGGGCCAAAAACTGTAGAATACTGATCCTTGCTGGTTATGATTTGCTGATTTCAGGGGACCAGTATTGGTCACGTAACCACAAACATGAAAGTCTAACATGATAAACAGTTTAAAAAATTGATAGACTGTTGATGATTTCCAGTTGCTTGCCATGCTATAATTACCAATGTAATATTGAAGTGTAACTTTTTAACTATGTGAGCATAAGGACACATTGCTATTACGGGCAAACCATCAACTGTGACAATTCTATTTCTAGTGAATGAAGACCTGAGCAAAGCATCAAACATTACCACATCTTCAAAAAACAAATGCTCAACTTGGAGATAACAATAAATAATACAAATAGGTGCTGAGAATTTCACATCAATGCCGTAAGCTAGTTGCAGGCTCTCGAGAAGTACTGACTATTTAAAACTGTGTTGTGTCACAACCTAACAAAAAGTGTCGCAAGACAATAAAGCCAGTTTTGAGTTAGAGGTCTCCAAAGCAATCAGGCACAGTGTACAAGGAACCCTTCAATTTTGTTCACCCAAATATTGCATATTTTCATGAGGATGCCAAATTTAGGGATACATCATTTTAAAGAACTAAGTTTTGCTCCTTATTATATAAAGCAAGACCAAATTATTGAAGAAAGACCTTAAGACTAATTCTATAGAGTACGGTCACTGTTACAAGCCGAATGTATCTCGGTATTCTAAGCAAAGAAGGGGGGGGAATCAGGCAAGTTCCTGTTTCTCAGTGACAGGGGAAAAAAGGAAGATAACCAGACTAATTTGTCAGGACAAGGGGGGTCCCTACATTCCCTCTCTAGAAAGAAGGAGGGAAAAAGACCCCCCAGCTGTCAGACCTAGCAGGCTTGGAATAATAAACAAGAAGGATGAGTTAAGCAGCATGTTTGCATGTGCTAGCCAGGCCCAGCGAGCCATTCCTGACACAGTGACAGGGCTGGTCTGACAGCACACAAATATTTAGAAGAACCAGCTTCCTTTTTGCATAAACACAAGATAGCTCTTTCTGCAAAGGATACCAGGTAGATAAGGAGGGGTTTCCAACATCAGGCCACTGCAAAAAATACTTTTGTTTATATTGATCGAATTCTGTCAGGTTTTGCTTTTCAGTCTGAAACTTCTTACACTTGTTGGCCTTTGTTGGAAAAATGTTGGCCTTTTAGCCATATCTGATGGTGATCCTTGAAAACCCCTGTATTATGTGCTGCATTCAGCAGAATGCGTGTAAATTGAACGGAATGAAAATTCAGACCATGAGAGATATTTTGGTTTCATCTAAATGGCTTTGCTGAACTTTCCCAAGACCATGCACATTAAAAATCAGGATCGACTCCAAAAAATATTGAAATGAAGGGAAATGTTTTCACACGTAAGAGGTCTGTTTGATATTAGTCATTTCCGATGAACTATTTGAGATATTAATAAAGCAGCCTTTAGGGTGGGTGGAGGTCAACATTTTAAGGTCACCTGCAAGCACAGCACATTTATCTAATTATATGCCACTGGAAATGATGGGCTCCATTTTGCATTCTGCAAGTCAGAAAGCTGAAGCAAAATGGATTTATGTGGGAAATCATGCTTCAACTTGCTGTTTGAATTTTTTAAAGGTTTGATTTAAGGTACCACCAGTCTAGGAATCAGCAATTGAAATGTTATGTGAACATTTTTGATATGCTGCATGACTAATTCTCAACAAATTAAACTGGAATTTGTTATATACTATGGTTTTAATATCTATCTGTACTGTCACTCAAAAACAAAAGGCCACACAACAAAAACATTCACGCAAAACCAAAATACTCCAACACCTCTGAGAAGTAGGCATTGTGAATAAAATCTGACAACAAATATTTTAAAACTGACTGTAATCATGTTTGGGGAAATCTTTACATATTCACGAGTGTCTCTCGTTTCAAGCTAGGTTTTGATTCATAACAAAATTCTAAATAACAATCTGAGCGTGACTGAAATCAACATGTCTATGACACATTGAAAGGTTAGACAGTTCCAGGCATCTGCTGTAATAAGCGCTCCCCAAAATAAGCCTTTGCGGTTTTTCTCTTCGTGCCGAAAAAATGCAGACGTGGTGAACGAGAAGAGAGAGGCCATCTACTGGCAATCTGAAACCACAGTATGGTCCCTGTGCATGAACAACATCAGAGGTCTCTGCAAATGAGCCGAGGTTAACTCAATTTAGACTCTATTTGTTCCCCTTCATTTTTTTTCCCTGAGAATCACCGGGACAAACCCCGGGTTGCAAAATGTGCAATCAGGGCTTGGCAATGTGGAGTCTATCACAAATTTGCTCCTGATGTACTTGTACAAATATATAGGCCTAAAAAGCTGTGAGTCCAGCCGGTTTAAAAACCTCTGCAAGGCCATTTTGATTACAAGAACAAGCTTGTTTGCTACTTTTTTGCAGTTTTGGTAAGTTTAAACATGCCCAACTATGTAAAGTTGGATGCAAGTTTCACAAATCACTCAAAATACTTGTGCAAGATGCAATTATCCATGGTTCAGGCGTGCAACTTGGAAATTCTGATCTTTACAAGACTTTGTACAATGTTTTCCATTTTCAATGGCACGAGTGTGGAGTGAAAAATGAGGAAATTAGCTGATTCGAGGAAAAGTTGCATGCCTGATGGTTACCAATCACAATGACGAGAGTGGAGATCACATGACTGAGTTCACACACAGGGCAGCAAAGCCTGTTGTCTCTGTCTCACACTCGTTTGATTTGAACTCATTGATTTCTGACTTCCTTTCATAATGGAGTACTTTGTTTTCATGAATGTGGGTTTAACTTTCATCAGATGTTCACAATGGCAACAACTACTGTAAACTACACAGCTGGAAGAACAATCATGGAAGCAACCATGTAAATCAACTTGAACAAACAAGAAAGGCAAGAACAAATACACCGTTGGGTGTGCTATGCTCGAATTTTGGGTGCGTATAATAAGTCCGATGCCTCACAGCTCCGACGACTCAAAAGTGCACGTTTTCAGACGTACGAGGTGTCAGAATAATGAGGCGTCAGATTTTTATTTTCAGCCACATAGTTCCAATGCCTCAAAGGTCCGATGCCTCATAAATCCAACGTCGCACCAACAAGGTATCAGACTTAATATGCGGCGTCAGTCTGATTGACGGTGAAACATGGATGAGTGCGGGCCCGTGCGACGCGTCGCCCACGAGCGAGATTCAACTCTTTTCCCCACTCATACCCATGGTACTGACCCTGTTAGGAAAACTAAATCAAGCAGACTACCTGCACAGTTCTTACACTGGTCCATTATTTTTCAAATCCAAAATACCACTACGTGTAACAATGACGTATGATACTTTGCTGAATATAAAAAGCATTTTTTCGACTGTAATTCTTTTGAAATCTTAAAAATGTTTGTATGTGTCATAAATAGTACACCATATTTGACACGGGGAACTAGTTTTGTTCCTAGCACCGTCTTTATACACTCGTGACAAGCGTCAAATCAAATGTCAGACTTTCGAGGCGTCAGATTTGTTGAGGCGTTGGCCAAAAACCGTTGGAACTTTTAAATGCATTTGTCCGACTTATGAGGCGGTGGACCTATGAGGCATCAGACTTATGAGGCATCAGCCTAACGACTGACCCCCCAAATTTTGGCCACTGAGACCAGCATTCCTTCTTTTTGCATCCTTCTCAACATGACCTCTCAATTTTGTATGATTCAGTGAAAAGCTTGGACTGTTTTTCCTTCCATGGTAGCAAGAACTGTGCAAAATATAGCAGATAAACAACCCTTCCCCTGTCTAACATTTTCTGATATTTTCAACTTACTACCTGGTCCTGGGATTTAGACAAAAGCTTGTGAACAGTTAGAAACACAAACAAGCCAGTCTACTTTTCATAATGAGCAGGGCCACTTTGATTGTTTCCTGTAGGTGGCACACATAAGTGGCCATTCCTAATGAAAAGGGTTTCCTTATCCATTTACTGCCATTATCTGGGAATTTGATCCAGCCCTTAGAACACTCCACATCTGTTAGGGATTACCCATTACATAACAGGGGGTTTTCACTTATCTCCTGCATGCCACTACCCCCCATAAAATATGTTAGGTCGTGACTCACAGCTGGGAAAAGTACACCCAGCATTGAGCAGGATTCATGAGTGCATGCTGAGCTGGTCCCAACGCTGTGTACATTAGTAGGACTCTTTTTATGAGGGATCTGGAAGCCTTTCACTCTTCTGGTGACAGCATGAAGGGCATGCATGTACATGTATGTGACTGGATACGACCATGATCCCACACAAAAGGAGTCTTAAGATTTTAGCCCATCTTTTCAGTAATTTTGTTCCAGCTTGCAAAAGAAAGAACCAACAGAGTTCTTTGATTTCAGATATCTGTGGGTTTGGCATCCAAGTAAAGTTGGACACTAGGTGAAAAAATAATGTTCCCAGTATGTTGATGTCAATTTACTTTGTTCAAAATTTGCTGAATAGTTTCATTGATTTGGTATTAAAGCCCATTGAACAATTTCAATTTGGTACTTTTCAATTCTCATTTTGAGTTTTGAAGACATGCCATACACCTTGTATGGTGTTGCAATCGGTAACAACTGTACGTGTAATATTTATAACTGCTACATGTTTATTGTTGATTTTCAGTCATATTGCTCAAATTGCTTTAACTTTTGAGAGAGGAATAGCTGAGCAGTTTCTCCCAAATCCTGATTTCTTCATGAATACCACCGGTCTCTGTACCTCATGACAAATTTACATCGCCTTGTTGTTTAATAAAGCAGACGAGATGGGGAAAATGGGTTTGAACAGACACTTTAGATCAATTCATAGATAACTATATTGGACCATGCTCGAACCAATCCAACTAGTCTGAGTCCTGTGCTGTAATGTAGGATCATACTCTGCACTAGGTACTGTTCATAAACTTCAAGGAACCAAGCAAGTTTGCTAGAACTACATGTATTTCACTTAAACGATAATGATCCTATACTTACAGAACTATTTCAACTTAAACAGTAATATTAAAAATCCTATACTTATAACATACATATTCGATTTTCAAAAGATACAATGCACAACCAAGGAAAACTCCAGGAGACGAGTTACATACATGGAATATCTAGGTTTTCAGTTTATCCATAGTTATTGTCAAGGGAACTGATGTTACAAATGTTCTGTGTAAGAAAGTCCCAGTACCAGGGACCAGAAACTGTAAAGGCCCTGTCCCTGGTTATGTTGAATGTGGGAAGAATTCTGAAGTTGTTACTGGAGCACAGGCCACCACGGCTTGGTTTGTAGAGATTGAGAGATTGCATTAGGTACTGTGACATTATATTGTGCAGTGCTTCATGCATGAGGACGGCTGTTTTAAAATTGATATATTGTTGAACAGGTAAGCGGTTTAATTTCTGAAAGAGTGGAAAAACACTGTTTATTTGGGTTGTGATGGTGTGATATGAGCATTACGCTGAAGCTGTTAGAGTCAGCTGCAGTGTCAGACCTCCACGGTCAGACACTTTGACATCACAAAGCAGAAACCTGCAGAGAAGTTCTAACCTTGCTCCAAGTACAAGTCTACCATTAGGAGTATGAAACCCGTCCAAATTAAACCTGACACACCGTTTAGAGTGTTCCAAGGGGGTCTCACAGCCCAGTATTGACTCAGCTGTCTCCGCCAACACACAATCACTGCTCTGTCCTCTTCAGTTTCGAAGGGGGGGGCAGGGATGCCTGATATCTCTTAAGATTGGGGAGAGACCGTTTTTTTGTGATGGGGAGAGCTGGTGGGGGGGATTGGGGGTTGGCGGCCCCTTTCATTCTGCCAATGTCAAAGGTTATTTCAATATTGGTGGTGTTGTTTTCCTGCACCAACAGGGAGTTTGATCCCTCTTCTTAAGTATGGGTGTGGTGGTGTGTCTGGAAGGGCACTGATGACCCCCCCCACCCTTTAAAATCCCTGAAAAGCAGGCTTTACAATGAAATCTACCTTTTCTTTCCAGTACTGTATCTTGTACGCTTCTAATAATTCTCTTAACAGTAATTCTGGAAGACAATATACATGTACCGTACATGGCTACTTCTCTAAAGTAATGAGCATAATAATAATATCTTCTTAATTCAATTAATAGTTCAGACTTTTATCCATAAAAACAAAGAAACCAGTTGTGACTATAGAATAGATATGCATACAAATCTATGGTGGATTCACGTTGGTGTTAAATTAAAAAAACTGTACACCAAAACTTCATTGAAACCTATTGGTTGATTTCAGTTTTTGTGTTGGAGCCCCAGATTTTCTCCTTTAGACAACTCCCACCACATAACATGTACATGTATGTCCCCGGGCCCTCATGTTCCTACACTGCAGCGTACTAGGAGAGCCAAGATAAACACTCCCTGTAATCTGATGGAAGGAATCTCAGCCGCCATACCCCCAGACCTGCTGAAACAACTACAGCCTTTGCTGGCCCTCCCTGCCCATGCAGGCGGCTTGGGATAGGCACACTGAAGAGAGGGAGGCTGGCCCAGGCTAGGGAACTCCAGAATCGCCTCGGCAATAAAAAATGCATGTCATTGGCAGGCTCCCTGATCCTGGGACCACACACCGGTGATATGTGGCATGAAGCCAACATGCCATGTAGGTAGAGTTTGCCTTAAAGGAGCAACTCCAAAATGAAGGGCAGAAACCCAGATCTCTAACATCTTCAATAAATCATATGCTGAGAATTGTCTCAACCATGAACAAAATACAAAAAAGCTTGATGTCTTCACTGTTCTTTTCATGACAGAAATGTGCCCCTGTCAAATAGTGGACTCTTGTGGGTTGAAGGAAGGAAGCAGAAGAAGCTGTAACCTATAGCTCCAGCACAAAAGATGCCCCATAAATTATGGCATAATTCAGCACCAAACCCACTTTGGGAAAAAAAGGGCACGCCTAGTCCTAAAGCATCTATATAATTTCCCATTAGGAAGACCCATGCTAAAGCAATGAATACTCAAAAGGGACAAACTCCACTGGTTGAACTCTTATACAACAGGCTGAAGATCTAGGTCCTGTTCTATTCCACCAAGCCATTAAACTCTCCAGGCGAAAATGCCGCTAACAATTGTTTAATCATTTGTAATTTGCCTTTCAAATGACTTCTGCTCACACCATCCTCTGTAATCAACATGAAACTTCCAGAGCACCCTTTAAGCAAGGTGCAAGATCTTCAGTCCCAACAGAGCAGTAAATTTCAAAATGGTACTCTTAGAGAACTACCTGGCTTTGATATCCTATCCTCAGGTCTTCAGAAATCATTGCTGGTTAGCACTGGGTGTGTTACCCGGACCATAAATTACTCTCTGGCCTTTCCTTTCTATGGGTGCAAATTGGAATTGGGCTCTTCCTTGTTTGTGAATGGAGTGTGTTTATACAAGACATACTTTGGAGTGACCTGTGCCATTATATTAATCTCTGTCATGATTTTTGCTTCCACAGTGTAAAATTCAACATACTCAGCGATGGCCTTTTTTCAAGGAGCGGGATCTTTACTTTTCGCAACCGGTGAATGCAGACATTTATTAGGAATTTAATTATTCAATCGAATTAAATTCTGTTCCATGTTTTGTTGTCTTGAACTTCATTATATAGTCGAAATGGCTGCTGCCAAGGTAATAATTCATTTCTTTGTTTCATAAACCTCCTTCAGCTTTAGTTTTGGCAGCATTTAATTTTTAAGTATGTTCCTTCCTTTTCAATTGAACTTAAAAAATGATTTTCAATCAGAACTGAATTCAGGCACTACACAGGTTGAGCAAAGAACAGAAAGGGTCAAAGTAAATCTCTGACAAGTCAGATCAGAAGGGGCACTTACCACAAGTGGAACTTCACTGGGAACTGAGGTAGAAGAGTGTGCCAGCAGAAACATGTCATCGACGCCTACCCCCAGCGCAAGAAAGGGGAGGACCTGGCCAAGTCAGGGGGGGAAGGGAAAATGCAACAAACTCCTGTCAGTTAAGATAGCAACACTGCTTGACAGGAAAAATAAAAAGGCCATAACCATGTTGACATAAGGGTTCAAAATGCTCCATCTTTTATTTCTCTTAAAGAGAAACCATGGGCGAAGGACGGGCATGCAACAAACAAGTCCAATATCAAGCTGCACTCTCCAAAATTTTCAACTCTCACTAATTCTACTTTCTGGTCAGACAGTTTCTCTTACTCAGAAAAGTCAGACTGAGCAAGATGGACAACTCTGCCCAAAAGATGTAATTACCATGGGTGCCATTTGAGCAAGCGATACGCCTGCGCAGTTTACAGTAATGCTTGGGTGCAGGCTCACCAGGTGCATGTGGCTGCCGCGGCGCCTGCGCCTTTGCATTAATGTGCATTGCGCAGGCGTATTGCTTGCTCAAACGGCACCCACGTGATTATGTTTTAGGTGTATTCACAGTGGAAATCGCCATCTTGCACCACTTTGTGGTGCTATACGATCTTAGGTCATAAGTACATTTGTTCTCTTATTTCAACCCCCTAAGCACAGGAAGGAACATTCTATACCCTTTGCTCTTGAATTATCATTAAATTTGGTATCCTGATAGACCTGATAGTGCAGCATGTGAATTAAATGTTGAAAGTTTCTGTTGAGTTCCATTA